TGTTCCCTTGTCACATTTCAGGTCCTAGCACATAAAGTGAAGCATAGGCGCAAGTTTCAAGTCAATCGGAGATCAATCGGCGACTCGGGGGAAGAAACTCGGGTATGACTTGAAGAAGAATGGATTTCTACCTCAGTTTGTGACCATATAATCATGTAATCTTGTCAAACGGCACCTAATTTGGAGTCCGAACGAGGGAGAAACGAAGAATCAAAGATAGGGGAAAATTGGTTTCGGGCTTCTCTGAGAAACAGAAGGGGGGCCTGTCGTGACGCTAAAATCCCCGGTAGGGGATTTTTGGCCTTGACCGGGGATTTTCCCTTGTCTCCAAACGTTGCGTTTTGAAAATCCCCGGCCGTGACCTAAAATACCCGATAGGGGATTTTGACCGGGGATCACGAACGTAGGTTGTTAAAAGCCTGTTTTGTGCGTTTTTGAAAGGGGGAGCTGGGTTTTGGATCCCAAACACCCTAGGGACGAACCAAAGAGAGAGAGGGCGATTTGAGGGCATTCTTGGAGTGGAATTGGAGGTTTTCTTCGCCTTGGAAGCTCGAGGAACAAGCCCGGACTTGAAGACTGATCATCTGAAGATTCTTACTGCAGTTTTTCTCTTCTCTATGGAGTAACTTCCCTTCACTTAGGTTTTGAGGAACCCTATCTATGTTTGTTTGATTGGATGATTATATGAGTACTCCTACTTTATAATCTTGAGTTCATATTCAGTCTATGCATGTTTTCATGATTCAATTCTGCTTTAGTCGAGATTATTGATTCTGCTTTGATCCTATGAGAGCGAATACCTGATTAGGTCAATAGAGCACCATAGATTGATAGTATTGGATCGATTGCTTTAGTCGAGGGTTGATTCAATGCTTTGTATCGATTGAGAACCTCATTCGATAGAGGGAATCTAGTTCAGAACGCCTTGATCGGTTGTTCTAGAGAAGGATACGTCCCTCTAGGCAATTGACTCAAGAGGGCCTTGTTCCTTTAGTCGAGACTCAAGGTCTAGTTAAGGATTCTCCGCATTGTGAATGAAAGTGAAACTTGTTAGAGATCATCAATTATTAATCTGGCTAGTGGCTAGGGGGAATCATACCTAAGTGAGTTCCCATCCTGTAATTAGATTAACTTTAATTGTAGTTTGTTAGAATAGTTTCAGTTCTTCCATCTTAATCGGGTTTGCTAGATAATGAAATGAAGCTGATTAATAGTAACTCTAGAGACCGGTGGATTCGATATTTATTACTTGAGCCACTATACTGCAGTCCCTTTCATTGGTTACACTTGGCCATTGTTAGGAGTTGTGTCATAGCGAGTAAAAAACAAGCCCTTGAACCTCAATTTTCAGTGAGCCAATTGTGAGAACCAAGCCTCCAAAGTAGGCATCTCAAACTATTCCAACACTTAACCAAATTCTGCCTTTCTTCTTCCCAACTTAGATAGCTTCTCCGTCAAGTAATTGTGACGTGAATGGTTGGCAATTGGGGATCATAGCATGTCGACCCTTATCTCAATCAGGTCGACCTCTGTTTGAAAATTGCTCGAAATTGAATTTAGGGCACAACACTTGGACTTTTGTACTTACGAGGTAAGGAAGATCAAACCAATAGGTCGACCTAATGTTTTTCAAGGTCGACCGTTCCTGTTTGCTTTGGTTGTTCATCCTGAATGTTGACTTTGGCTTTGTTTGTAAGACTATGTTGTGCTTAAAAGGTCACCCAGTCAATTGATCTGGTCGACCTATCCGTTGTTCGTGGTAATATTACACTTGCTTTTGTTGGTAAATTGGTATTTTCCTGCTGGATAGGTCGACCTAGGAAGAGCAAAGGTCAACCTATATGGTTTTGGTAGTGACAAATTGTCTTTAAGGTAGACCTAATAATATGTATGGTCGACCACATCTCTGTTTTTGGTCAATTGTAGAAAATTGAAGTTGAATTATTATTTGAATTTTTCTTTAAATTGTTTAGACGATGGCGCATGATGAGAGACAACAACACGATTTGGGTGAAATCATGAAAGTGTTGAAAGCCACACAAGAGCGGCTGGTGGTGTGTAAAAAAGAATTCAATGACTATTAGAAGTCCATTCGTGATACAGTGGAGTAATTGTCAGTTCGATTGACAGATATGACTGGGATGATGCATGATGGTGTTGAGAGGCTAGAAGGTGCTATCAAAGAAATAAGTGCAGAACGAATGGAGAATGGAGGAAGAGATGGTGCAAGAAAGAAATTTGACTTTGATGAAGAGGAGGAAGATTGCTACTAGAGCATAAATGATTTATTGAAAGAACACAAGTTAAAGGTAGACAAGTATACTCATATGTGAATGAAGATATTAGTATTACTATCATTAGTGCTAATTTGTTTTGTTTATATGTTTGACAGAGTGAAACAACGTTTGGCAGCAAGGGTTCCTCTCCTAAGTACAAGAAACCTCGATATGAAAGTGACTCCTACACAACTCCACAGAAGGATCATTTTAGTAAGAAAAGGATTATTTAGTGATGATAGCGACGAAGATGAATCTAAGAGTCCTTTCGAAAGCACAAAGTAAGTTTACGTTACATATTCATCTATAATGTGTGTTTGTGTTCATATGTAACTTTAATTTTAATTGTGATTTGTAGGTCATGAAAGTGGAGGGCCTAGAAGGATTCACAAAAAAATCTTCAAAATCCAGTTAAAGACTTGTTTTATGTTGTTACTAAAGAGAAGGCTGGAGCCTGGAGACACAAATTGGGACAAGTAAGAGACGTTTTTTTTATGTAGTACATATGGTCGATCGTTTAGCCAATGAGGTCGACCTTGACTTTGAATAGGTCGACCTATACTGTGCAAATCACAATGAGGTGGAAAATTTAAATAATTAAATTTTATTTTTTATTAATTTTTAATTGTCACGTCACACATTTAACGGTCAACTATGAAAGTAGACTGCCACATCAGAAAAAGTTAACGAAGTTGGACGGAGAGTGACCAAACTTGAACTGTTGAACTAATTTCAGTAACCACGAATGGAATTAAATATTTGCAGTGACCAAACACGAACTTTTTTAGTAAACCTAGTGACCAAACTTGCAATTTACCCGTTAAAAGTTAAAACCATAAAGGATACCTTTTAGGATACTCCCACGTCCCACCATACTTCATAATCTAGCTTAAGTTCGGCCCATTTAGAGTAGGCTTATGTGATCGTTCTGATAATGGGCCATTCTGTTAGCCACAATGCCAAAAATTGAAATCCCGATCTGCTAGAAATTCAGGCGGCTCTTTCTACAAGCCTAACTTTTCTATCGGCCCCCAAAACTCTTGCTCGAAAACCTGCTTCGCCCTCTTTCTCCTATAACCCTCGTTCCCTTTCCTTCCTTCATCTCCTTCGCAGCTCTACTCTAGTCGCCGGCGATTCGACCATGAGCAGATCCGGCCAGCCTCCAGATCTCAAGAAGTAAGTCGCCTTTTTCCTTTCCCATATCTTCTGCTCTGTATCTTCTTCCTCGGATTGCTGAAATTTTTGTTTTCTGTTGGGTATTTCAGGTATATGGACAAGAAGCTCCAGAGTAAGTGTTTCTACAAATCCCTTTGGTTTTGATTTTTCCTTCGCGTTTGTCCTTTTGGGATGACGCTCTTCTGTTGGGCTTCTCTTGTTTACCGAAAAGCAGCCGTCTTTCTGCGTCTCTAGTTTAGACGGGTACAGTGTGCTATATTCAATAGCTATTAGATTATTTTCGTCTGAACGACGGTATTAGCTTTGGCGAGAGGATAGGGGCAGTAGTCGCTGCCTGATAGAGGCAGAAGCAGGGCGACCGGAGCTATCTAGTCTGAGTGTGTGGATTGATATAGTCATGAGTTCCCCATGACCTGAATAAAGTTAGTGATATGATATGAGGTTGTTGCTTGGTCAAGTCAAGCAGATTGATACCCTATTGCAATGGCTTTTGAGGCCTGAGAGAAAGCTTTTGCTGCTAAACTAAATCTCCTGGTCAGGTTTTGTGTTTCTTCGTTCGACTCATTGGTCACAATCTACATGCATATGTCTGTACATGTGTTTGCTACTGATATATTGGTGTATATCGATGTTTATATGTTTAGATAAATGTGCGTGGGAGGTTTGAGTTTGCTGGACTTATGGGATTCGTCTAGCATATGAAACTGTCGTTGGTAAAGAGCCCTTTAGTTGAATGGAGCCTGCCCTTAATGCAAATTGGACAAATTCTGATGCGCAGCTTGTTTGAAACTGTAGTGTTGGCTCTATTACCTGAAGTTCTAGATGAACCATCATAGTTTAGAGCATCTGTATAGTTTTTTTGGCTGTTTGTTTGAAGTTGCGTCTGACTATGTTCTTGTTGTTGACTGGGGCTATTTGAGTTATATACATTATGATTCTATAAATGCAGTCAAGCTGAATGCAAATAGGATGGTGGTTGGGACACTTCGTGGGTTTGACCAGTTCATGAACTTGGTGGTGGACAACACTGTTGAAGTGAACGGTGACGAGAAAACGGAGATTGGGATGGTGGTAAGTAAACTATTTAGTGTTCTATCGTTTTGCTTCGAAGTTCGTCGTCTTACAGTAAAGAAAAAAGAAGTGTCATTCTGGGATATTGAGTTCAATTTTGCTTTTGGCAGGTGTTGAGAGGAAATAGCGTCGTCACTGTGGAAGCACTGGAGCCTGTAAACAGAGGATAATGTAGTCATGACTCTGTATTGTGTGTTGATATCTATGCTGGAGACTTTTTAACTACCGTGTAATCTGGCAGATATCATTGATGTTAAGTGTTTTAAAGTTTCCTTTGGGCTCTCATGCAGCTACAGATTGTAAACCAGTCATTCCTATCTTAGAGTGAGCACAACTCTTTAGATGTCTTTCTGTTTGGCATCTTTAGAAGGTCAAGTAGCTATTATGCCATATGTGGTGAACTGCCATGAAAGTGAATGAAATCCAGAATTAGTTCTCTTCCGTAGAGTTTGTGCATACTTTCCAAAATTTTGCCAGTCACATGTCATCAGCCAGTTTCGTGCTACAAATTTGCACTACATCGGACATCCTATCAACTAGACACAACTTTCCACTATCCAACTGCTTCTCCACTCTGTTTGTGCGATACATCTTCATTATCAATAGCAACGTCGCCGCTGCTGCTACACATAACCCGAACTTGAACAACTTGTTACACAGTGCACTTACCACGAAGCTGTTTGCTAGGAAGCCTGCGAAAGTTCAAAGCAAACAGTTTCAGATAAATTGTTAAGAACAGTTCATCCAAAAATCGACAGCAAAACAGGGTGGAATTAATTGACCAACTCACCCTCTGACTCCACCTCCCAACACTGTTTTCCAAGTCAACCCGACGCCAAACTCGTCGTCAGCAAGGTAACGGCTATACCCGAACGGAATTTGGACGCTCTTCATCACTCTACAAAGCTCCGGCACTCGAAAAGAAGACCTGTCGCAAGCCTCCACCGTGTAGACATGATGCTCCCTCCTGAAGTGGCTACTGATTCTCATTTTCAACTTGTGATTTACATGTTGGATTTACACACTTTGGGAACTAACAGAATAATAGAGTGCGAGAGTTTGGAGGTGGTGGATGCTGTGAGTTAGGAACAGCAATGGAGTGGGTTGTTGGGCATAACAGAATCCGATTGACTTGGTCTCCTTATCACGCCCCCGCAAGTTGATGGTGGAGAACCTTCAACTTGTTCCGAAAATGAAGAAACTTTTGCCGAGGAAGAGGCTTTGTCAGCAGGTTAGCGATCTGGTCGTCGGTGGAGATGTAGCGGACGTGGAGTCGACCGGCAGCAACGCGTTCGCGAAATCAATTTCCATGTGCTTGCTGCGGGAGTGAAACACCGGATTGGCGGTGAGATATGTTGCTCCGATGTTGTCGCACCACAGCTTCGGAGGGCAGGGAAGAGCGACGTTGATCTCGGAAAGCAGAGATTCGATCCAAACAATCTCGGCGGCTAATGTTGCCAAGGCTTTGTACTCTGCCTCGGTCGATGAATGGGCAACGGTGCGCTGCTTGCGGGAGGACCAAGAGATGAGATGAGACCCAAGGCAAATGGCGTAACCTGTTGTGGAACGGCGATTAGTGACTGAATTCGCCCAGGCGGCGTCAGAGTAGCCTGAGAGAAGCAGAGGAGAGGTGTTGCTGAAGAAGAGGCCATGAGTTGTGGTGCCTGTGAGGTAGCGGAGAATGCGCTTCACATCGGTCCAGTAATGTTGGAGTGGATTATGCATGTGCTGAGCGCAGTAGTTAACAGCCTGAGAGATGTCGGGTCTTGTGAACTGAAGATACCGAAGAGCCCCGACAATCTGGCGGTATAGTGATGGATTGGCGACCGGTGTGAGGTCGAGGTCTTTGGTTGCTGGTGCTGCTGGTGTGGAGAGAGAGTTGGCATTCTTCATGTTGGCACGATCAAGAATAGCTTTGATGTATTTTTGTTGAGTGAGGAGGAGACCTTTGGAGGTCCAGTGAGCTTGGATGCCGAGGAAATATGAAAGCTAACCTAGGTCACGAACCGCAAAGCGTTCCTGCAAGTAGAGAAAAAGCGATTGCAAGGCAGACCCTTGGTTGCCAGTGAGTAGAATGTCGTCGACATAAACAAGGGCGTAAAGGCGGAGAAATCCGCGACTGAGGATAAATAGGGATGAGTCTGTCTTGGAGTCGCGAAATCCATAAGATTCCAATGCATGTCGAAGACAATGAAACCAGGCTCGTGGAGCTTGCTTGAGGCCGTAGAGGGACTTCCGGAGATGACAAACATGAGAGGGTCGGGCTAGATCGGTGAAGCCTGGAGGTTGCTTCATATAAACATCTTCGGAGAGGTGACCATGGAGAAACGGATTGGTGATGTTCAATTGACGAACCGACCACCACTAAGAGACAGCAAGGGAGAGGAGTAGACGGAGAGTGGTGGGCTTGAGTACGGGGTTGTATGTCTTGGCGAAGTCCAGCCCGGGGCGTTGTTGGAAGCCGCGAGCCACCAGGCGCGCATTGTATCTTTCGATCGAGCCGTCAGAGCGTGTTTTGATGCGAAAGATCCACTTACAAGAAATGATGTTGCGGGCAGATGCCGGGGAGACGAGGTTCCAGGTCTGATTACGGAGCAGAGCATTGTATTCCTCAATCATGGCAGCTCGCCACTTGGGGTCACGGAAGGCTTGGCGTGCGGTGGTGGGAATAGGTGGTAAGGGCGGTGTGGTGGCGAGGAAGGTTTTGGGTTTTAAAGTCCCTGTTTGGTAGCGGGTTTTCATATGATGGGATGGAGAGGGGTTTGTGGTCGTACGAGTGTGTGAGGGACGGCGGGCAGGGGGCTGTATGGGAGAGGAAAACGAAGGAGGAAGATGGGGTTTGGGAAAAGTGCGTAGGGGAAGATTGGGCTTTCTAGGTAGTTTGGATCTGGGTTTGGTGGGAGGGTGGAGGGGAATGGTGGGCTGGGTGGAAGTGGGAGTGGGTTGGGCCGAGGAATCAGCAGGGAGTGATGGAGCAGTGGGTGGGAGTAATGGGGGAGGTGGCAGTGGGTGAACAGAAGGGTGGGGAAGCGGATTGGAGATAGTGTGAGGTGTGGGTTTGGGATTAAATAAGAAGTTTGGATAGGGAAGAGGAGTTGGCCCAGACGAGGTGGGTTGGGTATGAGAATAGGGTGTGGAAAGGAAAGAGGGTGACTTAGCATAGGGAAAATAGTTCTCATCAAAGAGAACGTGACGAGAAATGTGAATTTTATTGGTGGATAGATTGTAACAACGATAACCCTTGTGCATTGGGCTATAGCCGAGAACTACACAAGGAGCGGAGCGATGTTGGAGTTTGTGACGCGTGGTGGGTCGGAGCCAACGATAACAAAGACAGCCAAAAATGCGGAGAGTGGAGTAATAAGGAGTTTGGGAGTGAAGAATTTCGAGAGGGGTGATATTGTTTAGAAGGGGTGTGGGCATGCGGTTGATAAGATAGACCGCAGCATCAAAGTCGTAGGACCAAAATTTGATAGGAATGGAAGCATGGTGAAGGAGAGCCAAACCAGTTTCGACAACATGACGATGTTTACGCTCGGCACAACCATTTTGTTTGGGAGTATAGGGGCAGGAGGAGCGGTGGATGATGCCATGTTCTTGGAGGTAGGTGCCCAACTTTTGATACTCACCGCCCCAATCAGCCTGAAAGATTTCAATGGGGCAATTGAAGAATTTTTCGACTTGGGTGCGAAAGGTGATGAAGATGGATAAGAGATTGGAGCGATGACGAGTGGGAAAAATCCATGTAAATTTGCTGAAATAATCATAGAATAAGATATAATATAAATGACCATCAACTGACAGTTCAGGAGAAGGACCCCAAGCATCACTACAAATCAAATCTAATGGACCAGTTGCTTGAAAAGAAGAAGGAGTAAAGGGAAGTTTATGAATCTTGGCTACACTGCAGCCATGACACAAATTGTCGGCCTTTTTATTTGAAACATGAATGGAATTGCGATCTAAAATTTGACGAAGGACTCTAGAATGAGGATGACCCAGTCGTTGATGCCAGTGACACAGAGACGAATGAAAGGCACGCGGAGCCAGCTGGAGAGGATGGATAGGGGAATCAAGTAGAGACCATCTTTACTCCGGCCGTGGTGGAGGATTTTATGTGATTGCATGTCCTTGATGGTGAAACAATCATAAAAAAAAATTGATAGACAAAGGGTTAGATCGAGTAAGGGAATTGATGGAGAGCAGATTATGAGAGGAAGAGGGACACATGGAATATTATTGAGACGGAAGGAATGTTGATCAAAGGAAGCCAGAGAGGAGCCAGAGTGTGAGATAGGAAGGGAATTACCATTACCAAAGGAAACCTCGTCGGGGCCTTGATATTCGGAGTGTAGGGCTAGGTTGTTGAGATCAGAGGTAATATGATAGTTGGTGCCGGAGTCCATGATCCAATCTTGAGAAGCAGGAGAGTGGGCATAGTTCGTTTTTGGGGAAAAGTGAGGGGAGAGGGACGGGTTGGGGCAGTGTTTGGCGAGATGTCCAAAGCCATGGCATGTATAGCAACAGAGTGGGTTGGAGATGCAGGAGGAATGATGGGGATTGGGCTTGGGCCCAAGGATGCCTGTCCCGTAACCAGAACCTACAAAAGAAGGTAAAGAAGTGGAATGGTTAGAAAAACCACTGCTCATGCCGCCTCTGCCGCTCCTGCCGGGTGGAAGTACGAGAGGAGTTGAAGCGGCCACGTCCGCCGTTGTTGTCGCGGCCAGGATAACGGCTGTAGTGAGCTTGGGGTGCGATGCCATCATGGAGGAGGCCTTGGCTACGGAGACGGTGTTCTTCGTTGAGTAGAAGACCGTGGAAATCAGCAAAGGGAATTGGGTCGAGCTTGGCCTTAATGGTGCGGATGAAGGGGAGGAAATCGTCGCCGAGGCCTCGGAGACAACGATCAACCAGCTCGTCGTCCGTGATGGGATTGTTGAGAGCCGCTAGGCGATCGGCTATGTCCTGAGCGCGAGTGAGATACGTTGCACATGAGTCACCGCCGCGGGAGAGGTTGCCGAGTTGGGTTCGGAGTCCACGAAGCGTCTGACGATTGCCAGTTCTGTAGGCTGCTGTGAGTCTAGTCCAGGCATCAAGGGCGGTGGTGCAACCAACGAGACGAGGAAGAACGGCATCGGTGAGAGAGCCGGCGATCCAGGAGAAGACAAGTTGGTCGTGGCGGAGCCAGGCAACATAAGAAGGGTTGGGTTGGCCACTGGGAAGTGTACGTTTAGGAGCGGGAAAGCTACCATCAACGAATTTGGCAAGATCGAAACTAGTAAGAAGAGGGAGCACCTGCATATGCCAGAGAAGGAAATTGGTGGCAGTGAGTTTGACAGAGATATGGTGAGTAGGGGGAGGAGTGAATTGAGAGAGAGAGGCATCAGAATTGGGAAGGGGACTAGTGGTTTCGGAGGTGTAAGAGGAGTCGGTGGCCATGAGGAAGTAGAGGCAGAGAGAGGAAGAAGAGGAGAAGAAAAAATTAATTTGTCGTTAGGCTGGGAAGCTCTAATACCATGAAGTGGCTACTGATTCTCATTTACAACTTGTGATTTACATGGTGGATTTATACACGTTAGGAACTAACAGAATAACAGAGTGCGAGAGTTTGGAGGTGGTGGATGCTGTGAGTTAGGAACAGCAATGGAGTGGGTTGTTGGGCATAACAGAATCCGATTGACTTGGTCTCCTTATCACCTCCCACTCAAACACGCCACTTCGTTGTGCGAGTCCACGGGGAGCCCGGCCGAGCAGTTCAAATACTTGAACTCCTTCACCAAGTAGGCATACTCGAACGGGGTGAGGGACAAGTCGAGGAACACGCTGTGAACGCACCTTCATGGGTCCGAAAGGGCGATTCTGTTTTCGTTGTAAGTGATCGAATTGATGACCAAGTTGAGGTGGTTCGGGAAGGTGATGGTGGTGGCATTGTGTTTGCAGGAGAGGGTAAAGCCTGGTTTGCAAGCAGTCGGGAGGGTGGTGGGTTGTGAGATGGAACGGGGTGAGGATCTCTGGGGCGTCGGAGCTGCATTTGAGAGGAGCGCAATTGGGTTGTGAGGAGGAGTGTGAAGTGGGGAAGAACAAGGAGATGATGAAGAAATGGAAGAAGAGGAGAAAGATTGAAGCTTTCATTGGTTTTGGATGAAAATGAAGGATGGGCTGTTGTTGTTGGTGTTGTTTTTTTTTTTGTGTTGATATAGGCAGCTAAGGCAAGGGGGAAAGGGATGAGGGAAGAAGAAGGGAATATTTTTTTCGAGTTGGGAAGGAAAGTCTTCTCCTTTCAGTATTAAAAATGAAAAGATTGTTGTCTCTAGATAGTTTCTTCTGTAAGTCATCAGTCATGGGACACGGGTTGACGAGCAGAGACATAAAATGTTATAAACGTAAGTCTTTATGTTAACATAGTTGTGTTACTAGTTTAAAGTTCAATTTTAAAACTTTGGTGGTAAAAGAGATGCAAATGAGTGGAAAGTGAGGAGATTGGGAAAAAGAGAATTTTTTTCCAAATAGTGTAGATATCAGGAGAACCTCTTAGCAACCCTACCTTGAAGAAAGTGCTACTAAACTTAACAACACAAATGGGAGGAATACGAGGGTTGCCTTAGAGTAGAAGAAACTGCCTCCCACTCTTTTGCAACTTCTATTTCAGGAGTACTTGTCAAATGGGAAGTGTTTACCCAAAAAAAAACTCATTTTGGACCAGCATGGCAGCAAACAGACTCGGACAAAAGGACTAACAAGTAGAAACTTTGGTTTTCCATATCTTTCACTAAGAGGTACACTAGTGGGCTCGACTTTCTCCGCACCATTTCTCCCCCTTTTTCGTGTTAGAAACCAGGGATCTTGACCAGTTCTCTGATCTGTTGCTAATAAATAAATGGGATGACATTTTTTTATGGAAATGGAGAAGAAAAGTCCAGTCTTTCACAGGAAACCATAGCTTCCCTCTAGAACAAGTTACCAAGCACAGAATTAGATGGTTTTGTATGCAACTTGTGTACATTGTCCCAAATATAAAGGATCGTGCTTAAACAGTTCAGTTCTCATCAGAATAAATCGATATTTGAATCAGACAGATTTCGAATTTTAAACCCTTGTAAACATAGAAAATAGTCACTGAAAATAATATAAGCGGGTTAAATCAAATTGTATCAAACGTATTTTCAATATGACTTCATCCCTCCCTCGCCTTTTTATAAGGTTCTGTACCGATTCGGCCAAACTCTGGATTGAATGGGATCCTTATACAAATATCCAGTCACAAACCAAACAAGTGAAGAGAGAAAGAGCCTATATGTTTGTCTCGATCACACAGAAATCTATCAGCAATAGAAAAGAAAAGGAGGTTTGGTTATATACATCTAGTGGCATACATGGGCATGCATACTCGTTAGCTCTCCAAGAGCGAAAGAAGCAATATTGAACACATCAAACAATCAAAAACATGAAGCATCACAAAGAAGTCTCGAGAGAAAAAGGCGATGCAATCAGCACGTAATGCCAAATATGACAAAGGCACAGGAATAAAAAATAATAGATATCACACAAGAAAACATCTTCTACAATAATTCTTTTGCTAGCCTGATTGGTTTTTCTTTTTTCTTTATAAATGCAACCTCGCCGTTGGGTATGGGTAGCAGATGGTGATTCGAATTCTCTTCGTCGCTCACCAATGAGACGGTTGATATGATAGATCCTGAGCAATCATCATCTGTGTGTGTTCGGGTAGTCACAGTTAGTAAGTAGGCATTGAATACTTTCAAAGTGGAGTAGAGATGAAAAGGCAAGTTATCAAACTTGAGTTGCCAAAAGAATTGAGTGTCTGATCAATAAGACCACATATTCTTAAAAGAACAGAGACTAACCAGAATATCTCTCAGCTACATGTCGAACTGGTGCTACCTTAATGCTCTCTGGCAGTAGACAGTTGCAGAAGGAACCTGAAAAACAGAAAAATAGATTTCTAATAAGATAATAGAAAAGCTAGTAGCCCATGAATTGCAAGACCGAAACAAGAAGCTGAAAACTTGCAACAGTTTCTAGAAGTAGGCTACGCCACCCCTTCAATATGAGGTTCAATAGGTATGAAATACGAAAGAGATAGTAAAACTTCCATATCATACTCAAGCTCATAGACATGACGTACCTAACCTAGCCATCCGATTTATCCATCCTGGAATTGGCTTTCCAGTGAGTCTCATGCAAGCTTCATTTGTGAAGTGATTGCAATTCTTGGCAATCAAATGATAACAATCACCATGGTAGTCTGCTGAAATGTGTTCCATTAATGTCTGAACTTCTGCCCGTGACAAGTTGGTGTTGCCTAGCAACACTGCTCGTCGAAAGATGAAGCCTGGACAACTTCGTGGTTCCACCTCAAATATCCCACTACTAGCGTACTCATGTGCTCCAAAACTAAACTCCATTCCATGGACTGATTATTGAATCCAATTAAAATTGTCAAAACACATTATAGAAATCAAAATCAGTATGAAGTAATTTACTTAAATGCACATGATAGAAATATTTCAGATTCCTGATTATAACTGTCATCTATGCTACCTCACTATCAAAATCAAGAATTCAAGATCTTTCCAAGCAACAAACACACAACCCATACATTCAAACAACCATTATCACCAATTCCAACATCAAATATATCATATCAGACATAAATTCTACTGAAAAGATAGAAACACCAACAAAAAGCCATGTAGTTGTCCATATAATAAATGTGCCACATAAGTCATGAGATTGCAATGGTCCATTAACATTTCCAAGTTGTGGTGCTTCATAAATTCTTTTCTACAACTAGCATTTAACGCAGTAAGTAGCCTATCCATCTTATTCTTGCATTATGGCTCCTCATAGCCAAAGTTGCATAAAGAAGTGTTGAAAAGCCACTCATTGCATGCCTGCCTACGAATCAAATAAAATTCTAGTCTTTTGACACCTAGCCAGGCCTAAACATTCAAAGGATACATTCAGCACAAGGGAGTCACTTGCTGATCTAAGGATGGTCTACTCTAATTTGGTTTCTATTTCAATAGACACTAAAGTTTCCCAGGAATGTTAGCCCATTACTGAAGTTTCCTTCTCTTAAGTAAGTCCATTTCACATTACAATACTGACATGTGAACATGAGAAACAGTTGAATTCATGCCTAGGATAAACTCATGAAGACTTAGTGCTAACCAGTGAGATTCACTCCATTCATTCCGTAAGAAAAAAAAAAGATTCGCTCCATTCTCAGAACGCTTCAAACAAAATGACAGAAGTTACAAGAATAAAAGCACCAAACTTTGACCATGGTTCTACACATATAATTATCAAAATGCGGCAGAAATTAAAAAAAAAAACATGGTGGAACAAGCACAACTAGTAATGCTAACCCGGGAACTGAAGAAGGGGTACCTTCAATACCCGAATGGAAGATTCCAAGCCCGAACCAATAGAGGTAGTTATTGACAGTGGTAAGATCATACACATTCAGATATACCGGAATATGACTCCCCCCATAACTGTTAGAGCTTGAGCTGAAAGGGAAGAAATGCATTGTTTACAATTCCCAGTGGAAAACAATTCTCTCCCAGAATTTGCCTCCGCCTCCACCTCCACCTCCGTTTACAGTTCTACATAACCATATCTTCTAGCAACAAAAACCCTATAGAGCAAAAAGCCGACGATGGTGAATAACGATAACCTAATTCAATAGTTTCGAGCAAGAAAATGACCAAAATTCATACATGAATCTTACATGCAAATTCACATGGACGATACAAAGAAAATTCAGTATCGCCGGAAGACCCCAAAACAACTGCCGGATCTTGCAGCCGATCGGAGCTTGTTGGCAATGTGGAAAGCCGGGGAAAGCAATGAAAGAATGCAAATTATTCCACAAAGAGCGATGAAAAAAAGGAGACAGCCTGAGAATTCTTCTTCTCGTTAATCTCCTTTACTTCAGAAACCTGGCTCACCGGAGTGAAGGATGATTATATTATTTGGGATCAGAGACTGCGATGACAGAGGAAATTGAAACGAAAGAAATTGCTGGCACTTTTTTTGCAGAGATGTCAGAGACAAAAAAAAAATGACGACGACGAAAGATCCACCAATTGGATTATACACTTTCCAAGTGCTTCAATCATGAGGAAAGTATCGTTAAGTACAAATCGGTCCTCTTATTCCTTGTCCATTGACATTGCAATCCATTAAAATTTGTTATATGCCCATTCATCCGTCCAGTTTTTCATTTTTTGGACAACCGGATGTTTAGAAGGAAATTAATTATTTGATGTTTAATTGTTTATCCATCAAATTAATTGAGGGGTCAGTAAATGGTCACTAAGTAGTAAATCACAATATTTTAATTTATTGTTAGAAATAAATAAATGGTCTAACGAAATTAAGTCGTCAATCACAAAACTTTAATACATTGTCATAAATATATAATATATGGTGAAATATAAGCCACGAATGTATTCAATATACAATTGGTATAGCCTTTTTGCTAACCGTTTATATATTAATAATGAGTTTGTTTGCACATTAGAAATCTCTTTACATTAGATATCATCAGGATTACTGGCCATACAAATGGTAAAAGAAATGAAACAAACCCCATATGTTACGAACACAAACCAGTCAGTTACTCCATTTACAACAGTCGTTTGATTTACCTTATGTAGCATCGGTTAATTAAACAACAATGTATAGTAAGATAAACACCATACTATGGCAGTATGGCTGCATGTAGGGGTGGAGGTTGGTCGGTTCGGTTATAACCAAGCCATCCTCCCCACTACTGAGCACCGACCGAGCCACCCTTGTCGGTTAGCCAACCACCGACCAGTCAGTTACCGATTAGTTGTTCGATTAGCCGATAAAACCGACAATTTCCTGGCAAGGTCGCTGAAGGAAGAGTTGGCTAGTTTGTGGGGGCATCGGCGAGGTCACGAGCCGCCTACAATGTCATGGGGAGGCGGCGCGGTCGCTGGTGCAGGTGAGAGCAAGGGTTGAAGGCGATGGTGATAGACCGTTAATTGCACATGTTTTTACCCCTATTCTTACACCGTTTGAGATGTTGATCTCGTGTTTTAGGCTGATTTCACGCTAGGTTGTTCTTGTTTGCGATATTTCAGGTCCTAGTACGTGAATGAAGGTTTGGGAATGAGTTCGGAGTCGATTGGACGAAGATCGGACGTGTGGCGAGACGCTGAGAAAGTCACACGGGCACTCCTAAAACCCACACGGCCGTGTAAGGAACCCATGTGGCCGTGTGGAAATTACCGAGCCTTCACACGGGCATCCTGGAAATTCCACATGGCAGTGTGTTCCTGGCCGTGTAGGAAGCCTGAAGTCCACTTAATCGAAACTCCGCGTTTTGACACTCACACAGGCAGCTGGGAAAGCCACACGACCGTGTGGCCTGGCCGTGTGGTCGGGAATTTCTGGGTTTTAACCCAATTACGAGCCAAAAGTGAGGGAATCAACTTTTTGGAGCAAAAACAGAGCCCTAGAGAGAGAAAGTGCAAAGAACACATCCTAGAAGCGATCTTGGAGTTGGGTTTCATCAAATCGAGCTTGGAGATCATCATAGGAGTGAAAATCATCATCCCATAGCAGATTCTTCCCATTGTTATGAGTATGACTGCTTTGTATTCTGTTTTCCTCTCTCTCTCTCTCTCTGGAGTAGAACCTTCTCTCACTTGGGCATGAAGAACCCTAGTTCCATGTGTTAGGGATCTTGATTGTAATGACTTGGGATTGTTATACTGTTTGATTTTAATCGAATGATGCATGATTTGTTGAATCAATTGAAGTGTGATCATCTTTTCTTGATTTTTGCTGCAACCTAAGATAGATAGAATCTGATTAGGTTGTTAGAGCTTCATCATTCAGTAGTGGTAGATTGGTTATACGACAGTTAGTCAATCTACTGCTTTGTACTAGAATCCAATTCCAGTAGTGGAGTTCTGTGTTCATAGCCTCAGCTTTCTATCCCGGTAAAGACTAGTCGTCTGCCGGGTAGTTGGACTGAGAGGGCTGGTTCAGCTTAAGAGATTCCAAGCTACTGTCGGATCTTCCGCAGTTTAACCAACAGTAAATCAACCCAGGGTAATTGCAACTGGAACCGAACTAAGGAGCTAGGGGGACTCATTCCCGAGTGACTCTTCCTTTGCTTTAGAAAACCGAACCATTTCCTGCTTTCTTACTGCTTTTACTTAAATCAACAATCACTTGACTTAGTTGGCTAGCTAATAGATATTCACGGAGTAGGCAGTAGATCTAGACCCCGGGTTGACATTAGAACTTGCCTGTTACTGCATTTCCGGACTGCGATTACACTTGGTCTCAGTTTGGTGTTGTGTTTTAGTGTGTCAGATGGCGAGTTGGTGACCGTTGGGGACATGGGAAGAAGAGGATATGGGAAGAAGAGGAAGGGGAGGGAAAATGACGGAGTCAGAGGAAGGACAGGGGAGGGGAGGGGAGGAGACGGCGACCACCGGGCGGAACTGGGTGAATGACTGTTCGACGAGAGTGGATGCGGCCAGGTTAGAGGGGAGACGACGAGTGGGGTTTGGAGACGAGTAGGGTTAGGTTTTTGCTTGGGGTTGTGACTTGGGTGGATTCTGGGAACGGAGAAGCGGGGTCGTTTTGGGGAAGCAGAAGTGAAGCGGGGTCATTTAGGGACGGAGGCGGAGCTGCGTCATTTGGGGTGGGAAGCTCGAAAGCGGGGTCGATTAACCTTAGTTAACCACGTAACAAGTTTCTGGTTACTCGGTTAACCATGGCACCACTCACGCCTTCTCGAACACCTGTCGTTACATGTTAAGGGGCTATTTTTGGTTAGCCGAAAACCGATGGTTTCGGTTATAACCGCCTGTTAATCGCTAACCGATAACCGCCCATCCACCCGTAGCTGCATTCATTTTTCCTTTCAATGGCCTATGAAGTTGTCATTTCCATTTAGAATGTTGACGACATTGTAGTAGAGGCAAGATTGCCTGTCATCGAACTTGGAGATGACTTGATAGGCAAAGAGTCCACATGATTGCTTCCCTAATCGAACAATGTAGATGTTGAGGATCTTCTTAAACATTATATCTCCATTGATGACCGGCTGTGCCAGATAGTCCTGGAGAGGCATCCACTGCAAAGTTCAGGGTTCGAGATGAAGTAGTGAAGAGTTTGAGAAAGTGGGTTTGGGGATTTTGTCAAGTGCTCACTCTGGCTGCTTGAATCTCATCGTCATCTGTTCTCATATGAGGTGATAAGGGTTCCAACATGCATGTGAAGAAGAGATTGGAATTCTGGAATGCAAAGTTAAGAGCATGCCTGCAAATTTGAAGATTACCAGGGACATCTCAATGTCAATGCCCATGAAGTTGGTTTCCTTGAGCATGTTAACACATGAATAGTCACTCCACTTTGGAGCTTTCTACTTCAGTGGCCATATTAACACAGTTTAATAACAATAGGGAGTTTTTGGTACCTGAATGCCATCACTTCCACAACTGCAATGTCGATCTACAGAAAAATAAACCAAAGGAAGAGACTGTGTTTGAAATTAAACAATGGATGATCACAAGCAATGAAGTTCTCTTTGAAGCTAGAGAAGGAAGGTGATAAAAAAGGGTTATTGAATTGGGCAAGGCATCATGGTGTTACCCAGTTTCTTCATGACTTTCTCTTATTGCATCTGAGTAAATTTCCTTCGTCTCAGATAAATTAAAACCAGTTTTAGAGTAAAATCCACGACTTCAAGTTCAAGTCCATTCTGTTTATTTTTTCCAGAAGATGCCAAACAATGGCCATAGATTTAGGCCACCCAATGGTTTTCCCTTTCCTTTGTTTTTGGTGGATAAAAGGATCTGATGACTTGGGAATACACACAAAAGATACAAGAAGCCTTAGGTTTTCCTTACAACATCTACATTTATAATGCTGTCATCCCCATAGAACTCATCATCCCCTTTTTTCCCTTCTCGTTGCAGATAGCTTCATTCAAGACGAGAAATTAACAACCATCCCTAAAACAGAGGAGCTAAGTTACAGAATAAAAAAATAAAGGAGCTAGAGAAATGGGAGCTGGTTTTTGGAAAAGTTGGTGCCTAAAATGGTAGAAAGTGGTAACTCCTTGACCCTGGGATTGATTAGGGGAGAAGAAAACAAATTTTGAAATTGACCTAAAAAAGAGATTCAATAATTGAATGGGGAGGAATATGTGGTTCATGCTCTTTTAAACGAGGACAAACAGCTCTCTGTCTGAACATGAAAAGCACCCACAGTAACATTTTTTTATTTATCTCTGGCATATGAATTTGAAGGTGACAATCGGTTTCTCGTTTAACGGTTTAACCAGTAACCGACAATTACCGGTTAAACCCATAACCGGGAAAATCGGTAGTCGGCAGTGAAATTGGGGCATTTGATATACCGGACCCCTTGCCGATATATACCGTCGATATTCTGGTTAAACTTGATACCGATATGGGAGGTTAGGGAGGCACAAAACACGGAGAAACCCTAATCTCCAATCGGGTGTCCACTTCC